CTCCTCATCCTCCTCCTCCCCCTCCTCCCCCTCCTCCTCCTCCTCCTCCTCCTCCTCTTCCTCATCCCCCTCCTCCTCCTCCTCCTCCTCCTCTCATCCTTCTCCTCCTCCAACCTCCCCCCCACCATTCCGACAGCACGTGCCCAACCACCCCAGCGGATCCAAGGGGGGGGGGCGATTCTTGCCCCATCCAGGGTAGTCATCCACCCCTCGTGGCCGCCCCCGACGGCGGCGTCAGCTCCTTTGGAGTCCCGAAAGGGTGCGGTGACAGACCGTGCGGTGACCTCGAAATCCCCCCCGACCTCACCGCACGGTCTGTCACCGCACGGTCTTGGGACCCCGGAGGCCCCCGTCGCCCGAGACATCCTCGGAGAACGACCCGGGTCCCAAAACCGTGCGGTGACCCCGAACCCCCACCGACTCGCCGCACGCTGTGGTCACCGCCCCGTTCGGGGGCCCCCGAGCTCCGCCCAGGCCGGGGGGGGGGGGGCACCGGCGGCGCCGCTGCGCGGGCCCTCGGCGACGCAGGCCGGTCCTCTCGGGGCCCAGCCTCGCGCTGCCTGGCGCTCGCGGGGCGACCGGGGCGGAGGGGCGCAGGGGACCCGACCGAGGTCCCGGCGCTGCGTTATCTTTTGGCGCCGGGCGTTCTCGCACGACCTCGCACGACGCCTTTGGCGGCGCGCACCGTGGGGCAGGGGGGAGGGGGGAAGGCTTCTCAGAAGGAGCTTGCTTCCCAGAAGGCGCGGGCCTTGCATCTAATTGATGAGGCCCGCGCCTTCTAAGCAGCAGGGTGCTTCTAAGACGCCCTCCCCCTCTTCCCCCTACCCCCCTTCTGCGCGTGGCTGAATCCTGGCGTCGCACTTTTGGCCGCACCAGGCGTTTTTCCGCCCTGTTTCAGGCCCCAGGGCCCTCGCATATCGATCTGGCTCGAGAGCGGGCGCAGAAGCACTGTGGGGTCTGGGGCTCCGGCCGTGACCTCTTGGTGCGACGCTGCCGTGCTCTGCGACGTCGGAGCGGCGCGTTCCCGCGGCCCCACCTGCTCGGACCCCGTCTGGGAGGCCTGGAGCACAAGAGATCTGGGGGCACAGCCTCCGTCGGCCCGGAGCTTGGCGGGGTGCCCCAGGGCTCCGCGGGCCCATCGGGAGGTACAGCCGAGGCGTTGACCTATGAGGAGCCCCAGATCAGGAGCGGGGCCCCTCCTGTGTCCATAAGTTGAGCTTCGAT